GGTGGGGGGGGGGGGGGGGGGGGGAGATCTGCCTCATTTCTGGCAAACCCAGGGCAACAGTCCAAGAGACAAGTGCTCACAGCCTCCAGCAGGTCAGGTCCAGGTGGCTCCAGTTCAGGAGCCTGGCCCCTCACTCCACCAATGCCCCTTTCCTTCAAGAGCCTCCCTGCTTCCTCCCTGGGAGCCAGACGCAAGACAACGGGCTCGGCCCCCGGGCCTGCGCCCCTCCACTCACCTGTGGGGCGGGGCCGGATGCAGCGCTTCCAGCACGGCCGCGGGCAGCGCCTTCTTCTCCTGCGGACGGACACAGATGGTGGCAGCGCCGCGGAGGCCGGGCGGCCCCCCCCCGTGCTGGCCCAATCCGATCACCCGGCCCCGGCCCCAGCCCCAGCCTCAGCCTCCCCGGTACCTTCTGCTCCTTGAACAGCTCCTGGCGCCGCCGCCGCTTCGCTCTGAGCTCCGCGCGCTCCCTGCGGGGGGAGGGGGGCGGTGAGGCCTGGGGGAGGAGGGGAGCCGGGGAGGGATGGGGGGGACAGGCCGTTACCTGCGCGCCGCTGCCTCCGCGAGGCTCCGCCTGGCCTCAGCCTCCGCCTTGGCCCGCTCAAAGGGCACCTCCTCTGGGGCTTCCGCCTCGTCCTCCTCCGACGAGGAGGAGGGGGGAAAGGGAACGGCCGCGGGCAGCGTGGGCTCCTCTGCCCACCCCCCACGTCGCCTCCGCGGAACCATCTTGTCCGGAAGAGACGCCCCCTGACCCGGAAGTGTCCCAACGACCCCCCCCAGCTTCCTAGGCTGCGTTATACGCATGCGCAATCCCCCCCTTCCCAGGCTGCCTTGCGGCCCCAAAAGAATCTGCCCTCACGCGCAGCGGGGAGGTAGTGTGCAGGCGTGAGACCCTACTCGCTGGGGCTGCCCTTCTACCCCGGAGGTGCGGGGCAGGGCGGAGGCCTCTCCTTGAGGGCATCGGTACGTGGCAGACACATGGCGCTCACAGCCCAAACCCGGCGGGGCGGGAGCTGGTACCCCCCCTCCTTTCCTGGCACCAGGGAGGCAGTAGGCACTTCCAGCTCTTAGCCCAGAAGCCCTCAGCATTTCTTCCCTTGCTCTCATGAAAAGCCCCCCCTCCAATATGACCCCCACCCCACGACACACACAGGCACACAGAGCCTGCTTGGCACCCACCGGGCAGCAGACCCAGACAGCGCAACACTAGAGAAATTTTCCAGCCTGCAACTGGCAGTGGCTTTGTTCAAAAGAAGAGAGTCCATTTTACTCCTGCAACTTCACTTCTCTTTCTTTTATTCCGCAGCTTTCAGGTCCCCCCCCCTTGCGACCTGGGCCTCCTTCAGTTCCTTTCTTGTCTCAGTTTGGTCTCCTTGGAAAGCCGGCCCGTGTCCTTACCGGCTGGTACCAACTCGCTGGGTGTGTGTTTCCAGGTGGTCTCAGCAGCTCGATTCTTCCCCTGGGCCAGTGCTCACAAGATTAGCTCAGTTTCGTGGTGGGCAAGCGCTGGAGGCAGGGTGGTTCCACAAGGACCAGAAAAATGAAACCTAGAGACAAGGAGCGCGGTTAGGGAAATGAACAGTAACCACAGGCAGGGAACAGGTCAGAGAATCATGCTGCTGGTCCACGTCATCTGTATGTTTCCCTTCATCCTGGAGTCTTCAGTCAGACTGAAAAGGAATGATTCGTTTCATGGTGGAGGCTCCAGCTCATGCAAAGCCTGTTCAAGTAGAAGTTTAACACTAAAGGATTCAACAGAATAAGGAAGAAAATACGAGCTGAATCCTAGGGACTTCATATAAAACTTTTTGTATTTTGCCTAAACTGGTAGTTGATTTAAATAAAACACTGCAGATACGGTGGGAGAGGTTAACAGGACAAGAACCGCAAAGGATTACGCACTTCGGGACCTCTCCTCCAGGTAGCTGAAACAAATGTTAGTTTCTCCAAACAGGTCATAATCTCTTTGCAGTTTTTCTAGGCATTCAGTTTTATTTTTACCAGTACAATATAAGAAAACATTTAGGATCATTATAGTAAAGTTGAGCTGGAAAGGGCCTTGTGAACTCATCCAATCCAGTCCCCTGCTCTAGGCAGGATCATCCTGGACTAAACCACCCCAGCAAAGCATCCGTCCAACCTGCTCTTGAAAACATTAAAAAATGTTCATGCATGGAGAGTCCAGGCAGTGCTGCAGCTCAGCTATTCATTCCCCAGTCTGCATCTGTGCCCACAACTATTCCATCCCAAGTGCAGGACTTTGTACTTGTCCTTGAACTTCATCTGATAAACTGGAAAAATGGTCTGCAGTCAATCGAGGTCTACTGGATCCTAACCTAGGGTGATCACCTGTTGCAAATGGAGAAGCAGGACACATGCCCACTTCCTACCCCACCCCTATGGGCAGCATGATCAGAGTGAAGCCAAGCAGAGCCTGTGGGGGGCGGGGGAGGATGCAGACTGTCCACTGTGGGGCTCCCTGCTGCATTCCCCCCAGGACCTTTGCAGTCCCAGCAGGCACGCCCCGGCAAGGGAGGTTGAGGAGCCTCAGTACTGCTGCCACGAGCCCTGTGCCAGTCACTCTGCCATGGTTTCATAGTTAGTGGGGTCAGAAGCAGATCATCAAGTCCGATCCCCTGCCATGGCAGGAAAAAGTACTGGGGTCAAACGACCCCAGCAAGGTGTACATCTAGCCTCCTCTTAAAGACCCCCAGGGTAGAAGCCAGCACCATTTCACTTGGCAGTTGGCTCCAGATCCTAGCC